GTAGAGAAATATTTTAGCTAAATATACTGTGTATACAAAATTAGGAAACAAAAGAGTAAGAAGGGGTCTATAATTTATGTGGTCGCAGCTCTGAACACTGCAGAGGGGAGTAGAGACCCTGAGATTGTTAACACAGGATGCATTATCCACAGGACATATCTTTGATATGTCCTGTAACAGGGCAAAGTTCTCAAAGTTTATTCCATTTAATTATACTTTGAAAGAAATCCTGTGCATTCTTGCATTTGCTAGCAGATGTGTGATAAGGGTAACATTCATACTATTCCCGGGAAATTAGAATTCAACTCTTTCTCCAATTCTATTGCTAAATCTCTGCACTACGCAAATAACAAATTTCTCTGCATCTCCATTGTCTCTAACTTAAAATCTGAGTCAGGATCAAGGCTTTCTCAAAACCAGAGGGTAGGCAGGTGGAATGTTTTGTAAACCAAACCCCTTGGAGGATGGGGAAAGATGCCATCTTGCAGAAGAACTGGGGGCAGTGTTATGGAAAAATTTAAATCCAGACAGAGACCCAAGGACACCCAGGGTCAAAGGAAAGAGCAGCCAAATGGTTACATGGCAAGCATTTGGCTTCTCTAAGCCTCAATTTCCTCCTCTTCAGAATGGTAATGATAACACGCTCCACTATAGGAAAGAGACCGAACCAGTTGCCAGCAGTGTATTTTCAACTACACTGGAATTTAACACCTTTGTGGTTACATTTGACTCTTCCTTGACCCTAGATAAGCCTGTGGGCCCTTAAAACCATGAGTCTTTCCAAGAAAACTAGAATTGTTTTTTCTAGGTAGGTCTCTTACTTGATCACTCTTGAATCATTTTTCTTGCTAGACGCTCTTGAAATGGAAAAGGCACAAAATGTGTAATCCTTTAAATAGCAGTGGATTTCTTCAAAAGCAAAAAGAGCAAATGCAAGAACACACTCAAAATGAAATGAATTATAACTGAGAGAGAAACAGTTTATGCAAGTATCTTCACTTTGCTTGGAATATATTATTGGCCCAAAGACATTGGGAAAGCTATTTTATTCCTTTGAAACTTAGTTTCCTTGAAAATAACATGTAAAAATGTAAAGACATTTTGTCATTCGGAAATGTCACGGGCAGAATAATTCCCTTCCCCCCAAATAATGTCCTTGTCCTAGTCCAAGAACCTATAAATGTGTTAGGGTATGTGGCAAATGGGAGTAAAAGTTACAGGTGGATTTAAGTTTGCTAATCAACTGACCTTAAAAAAGCCAGACTAGCCTGAGTGATCCAAGCAGGCCCAACCCAATAATACGGTCCTTAAAAGTGAAGAAGGAAGCAGAAAAATAGCTGAGAATGATGCGAGTGATGTGAGAATTTGGTCATTTTGCCTAATTTTTAAGATAAATTGAGGGGTCACAGCCAAGGAATGTAGATGGCTTCTAGAACCTGTAAAAGACAGAGAAAACAGATTTTTCTCTAGAGCAGAAGCAGCAAGCCCTACTGATGCTCCTATTTAGCCCAGGACAGCCTGTCAGGTCCTCACCTAATGAACAGTAATAATACATTAGTGTTCCTTTAAGTTGGTGCTAATGTTTCACAGCAGCTATATAGAACATACAAGATAAAAGTAAATATTTATTATGGAATACTTCAGAATTATTTAAACTTTCTAAAAATAATACTGAAGCCTAGATATTATCTTCTAACAGTAAAATATATGCAATTACAAAAACCTGATCAAAAATATGTACTATTCTTCACTTAACTGTTATTAAAGAGTGAGTTATATGGATACAGCACCAATTTGAGACCAATTTGATTTGCCACTATTCTAAACTAATATAAGTAGTCATAATTTATTCACTCATGCAAAGTAAAAACTTTGGCCTTTATAAAATAAACATAATTCATCTTGCAGAGGTTAGGTATTTGACACTTAACAAGGCTTGCTTATCACCCACCTTTCATCTCAGCATGCAAAGTAATTAACTACTGAGAGTCCTGTTCTTGTATAAGCACTAATATGTCAGGAAAGTATTTATAGCTTTACCCGCTAAAGTAGATAAAATATAAATTGTTTAGGCAAAGCTTTGAGAAAACAGAGCACCAGAACCATGGAAATACTAATCAAAAAGCAGCTTTGAGATTTTACTGCACTTGGCACACTGCATTTTCCTGAACGTTTATTTATAGAGAGTATTTTTACCTTAGGCAAGCTAATGAATTGCTACGTTCTTGGGAACTTCTGCACTTCAGCCTCAGCAGCATGTTGTAAAAAAGACTTATTGATTTACTGTTCAAACATTACAAATAAGGAAATGATAATCCTACAGGCAAGAGCCTGCTGTCTCTGGTAGCAACACCAGGAGTTTCAGATTCTAATGTACAACACCTGCAAGTTCCATATTAACATTACTCAAGCCTTCCTCAGTAGATATTGAGTTCCATAGATAGGGAAATCAATGAACGCAGCCTATCCCCGTGTACTGAATGTGCTGGAACCAGCTCTTACCAGGTCACATTTTATGATTTTTTTGAAAATGTTGCCAGTTGATGTCCTATTGGTGGCTTGAAATTATCCCACACTGCATATCATGATCAGCTGGCTGGTTAGTTGGTCAGTTGGTTGTTGATTTTCCCCAGAGAGCTAGCTGCTCAGCATTTACCAACACATCCCTGACCGGCAAAGGCAACTCACAATCTGTTCAGCAAAACCACAGTGGCCCTCCAAAGCAACATAATCTAGGGGACTGCCTGTAGATAAAATAGGTTTGTGTGTTTGTATCTTTTCCCATACATGTCTATAATTTTCTTATTTTAAAATGTTAGAATTTTATCTTGAGAAAGGGGCTCCTTTTTCTAATTCACATGTTTGCTAATACTAATTTGAAGGGGTTTACATAAGTCAGGGTAACTAGCATATAGGATTTAATCCCCCGGTGGAAATGATGAAAGGGTTCAAATGAGGAGACAACATCCATTTGCAAATATTTGCAAAGGCTTTAGGAAAATGCACCATAGAGCTGGTTTTAAAAGATCGACAGATTTTTCTAAGGGGAAATAGCAGTTTGTGAATGCCAAGAGAGTAACCTGAGTCAATGCTGGTTTTCAGTCCTTCAAAGAGTCAATTAGATTGTCTAAAATTAACCAGAGGAAAATTCACTTCTCAAGGTAGGATTGGGCCAAATTATAGGGATCTACATTACTGAACTAAGATGTTTAAACTTAGCAAGTACATTTAAAATGTTAAAGCCTGATTTTCAGTGAAAACAGTATTTGTACTAACATGAAACTAGAAACCTAGTAAAAGACACAAGAATTCATGTCTTGGATATAAGACATTGACATGGATATAAGACATGACATTGGCTTCAGTGATGTCTTTGTAGACAAGAAAAGCAAGAGCAAATATAAACAAATGAGACTACATCAAATTAAAAAATTTCTGAGCAGGGGAAGAAACTACCAGTAAAACAAAAGAAAAAAATAAAACAAAACAAAACAAAAAAGACTCTCTACTGAATGGGAAAAAATATTTGTACATACCACATCTGACAAAGGACTGATATCCAAAATATATAAAGAACTCATGCAACTCAACAAAAAGAAAACAATTAAATCAAAAATGGGCAGAAGAGCTAAAAAGATACTTCTCCAAAGACAATACATAGACAACCAATAGGCATGTGATAAAAATGCTCATCATCAATTATCATTAGGGAAATGTAAATCAAAACCACCATGAGATACCACCTCACAATCATAAGAATGGCTCACATCAAAAAGATCAGAAATAACAAGTGTTGGAAAGGATATAGAGAATATAGACTGGTGGGAATATAGACTGGTGCAGTCCCTATAGAAAAATGGTAGGAGGCTTCTCAAACTATTAAAAATGGATCTACCATGTGACCCAGCAATTCCACACCTAGACATCTATCTGAAAAATATAAAAACATAATTCAAAGGGATATATGTACTCTTATGTTCACTGCAGTCCTATTAACAATAGCTAAGTTATGGAAACAGCCTGAGTGCCCAAGAACAGTGCAGTGGATTAGGAAAAAATGTGGTAAGGATATAAAATGGAATACTATTCAGCTACAGAAAAGATGAAATGACATTTACTACTACATGGATGGAACTGGAAAGGATAATGCTAAGTGAAATAAGTCAGAAGGAGAGAGGCAAATGTAGGATATTATCACTTATAAGTGGGCTATAGATAAATAGAGAAAAGGGTCAGTCCAAACCAAGTACTAATAAACTCTTAACAATTAACAGCAAAATAGAGAAAACTGGAGGAGGGAAGGCGAGCAATGCAGCATGGTAGAGGAATAGTGGGCAGGGTAAGAAAATGTATGTTATAGAGGTTTGAACCTATAGTCTCCAGAACAGATGCAAAGTTGCAAATCTACTTTACCTCAATAAATACAATTTGTGGATAAAAAAGATTTCATGTTTGTCTTCTTCACCATTGTACCTTGAGGGATTGGTGTAGTACCCACAGCATTGTAGCACTCAAATTCTTTTCTATTGGGGGACAATGCACTGAGTTTATGCCATTGTCCTTAATCCATCTACCATAAAACACACAATTAAATATATTGTGAAAATATATTTAATACATCTCAAACTGGGTTTAAAGAAATTATCCTCTCTGGGTTTTGTTTCTTCCTCTGTGACAAAATAATTATACAAAACACTAAAGGTTGGAGAGTAGAGAGTTGAACTAGATTTCTGAGGTGTCTGAAATATCTTGTATTCCATGGATCTCTAATTTCACATTTCTTGTCTTTGATGATGTTAACAGTCCTGCAAATTTTCAAGGCAAATATTTTTCCAAGTCTGAAATACTTTATTGACCTTAACACAACACCTACACAGCCATGGTACATTGACCTAAAGAACCATCTAAGACAGAGTCTAAAGGTTAAATTGCTTTTAGATACTAAAAGCAAAAAAGGAAAAATCTTATCCAAACTTTTCTCTTTGAAGCTCATTACTTACAGTTTTTCTGATATCATGAGCAAGTAAAAATGAACAATCTTCAGCTGAGCTCCTCAATCGTCAATCTTCTACTGGAGACTTAGATCACAGAAGAGAAGGAGGCTCTGCAGAGGCAGAGTGCATCAACAGAAATTCAAAATTCCAGTTATCTAAAGAAAAGCATCTTCATACTTCATGTTTGAGGTGCCCTGTGACTAGCCAATGAGCTGTTCAGCCAAGTCCACATTTCTTTGCCCCAATTCACTTTTCAGTCAATAAAATTCAGCTCCTTTGTTGACACTCTGTATCAACCAATTTCCTTGCTTAATCAGGGATGTAGACTTTAGTAGCTCTTTCCCCTCCTATCCCTGGCTTGTTTTGACTTACAACAAAACTTTTATCTGTTTCAAATGTTTTAGTAATTTTTATCCTAACTAGCCATCAGGTACATGAACCTCATTTATTGAGGTTGGTAACACATTCTCCAGATTTTATAAAATGAGTTTCAGTAGGAGTCAGCAGGTTCAACCATGCAGTGTTGCTGCAGAATGGAAGATATACTAAAACTCTGATCTCAGAGTAGTGACTGCAGGAGTCCTGCACTCACATGGAGACCAAAGGAGATGGAATAGGATGAGCACAAAGGGTAGCCTAACATAAGGAGGAAGCCCAAGCTGTGCGACCTGAGTGGGCAGCGGTCTTGATGGCTCTTGTGTGCTCTCCCTGATTCTGGGAGTACCTTAGGTGTATCTATAGGGGTCTAGAGATTTGAGCGGCAATTCATTTATGTGGAAACATTATTTATAGTCATTATGGACCAAGAAAATGGGAAGCAAAGACCTTAAATTGGCCTGGGTTATCAGATGACTTATCCTTCCTGTAAGAGAAGCTCCGTGGCTCCTGGTTCAGTGGTGCAGCAGAGTGCCCAGCCCACCTGTGCCCCTTGCCATGCCAGGAGCAAGGCAGGCCTCATCACAGTGCCAACCAGGTTTTGAAATCCATCCACTTTGGGGAGCAAGCAGAGGAATAAGGGACCCTGAAAAGGGACTCTGGAAGCCATAAAAGGCAGGCCTGCAGAAGGGTTAGGATACTCTGGTCTGGCAGAACTTCGCTACTAATTTCCACCTTATCACTTTGGATAGTCAATTGCCACTCCTGCCTATAGCACGACCCACACCACCTCCTGGTTGCCCACTGACAGGCACTACTGGCTGTGTCCCAGGCCTCCGAGAGAGCTGCCCATGATTGCCGTGGCACTGTCTGCTGACCAGGGCTGCTGGTCTGTGCCTGGTCACCTCTAAAGCTGCCTCCTGTTGCTGTTGCCTCCAGCGCTGCCCCGCCCAGTGTCCAGGTTACTGCAGCTGGCTACCTCAGTAGCACCACCTGTGATTATCACCTGTCATTGGAGGTCACTGTGACTTGGGTCCTGGTCCACCACTGCAGAAGTGCCACCAGCTCCAGGCTGTGATAAGAGAGACAGCGTTGTCCTTCAGGCGTAGCTTTTGGTTTGGCCTACTGGACACTGCGAACAATATCTGGGGTAGGATGGACAGCCACTTGTGGCCTTTTTTTCATCTCTTCCAACTTCCCTCTTGTAAATAAGCTCTGTTGTTGCGACATTTGGTGTTTGAGTCATGTCTTCCAATTGTAAGCACACAGGTGGGACCCACGAACTGTAACTCCCCTCAAATTTTTTCAGTTGCATTCCTACAAAAGGTTAAACAACTTGCTCAATCAATGTTTCATACTGCCTTCCATGAGCTCCCCAGAAAGGACTGCTGCAAAAGTGTAGCTGCTCCCTATTACCCCCAAGGGCAGTTCATCTGGAGGCACTTCTGAAGGATTTAGGAAAAGAACACTTCTTTAAGAGGACTTTTTGCCCAGAGATCTTCTGACCCTGAGCAGAGAACAAGAAAACTCAGAGCCTATAAACCCAGCTTTGGCCCAGTGAGACAAATACCCACATACGTAGCTCACACGTAGGAGTCCTGCTTCACTTGATTAGTCATCTATAGTTCAGTCCAAATAATCTGAGTTGGGGAAGATTTTATCAATATGAAAATTTTTAATAAGCTTACCAACATGCTTCGCAACAGTCAAAGTCAAACAATGTTTGTGCCAACATAGACTTACAAAATGTCTATTGCCACAGGTTGACCTGGTGACTAGTAAGGTTATTTATCACTTAGGTCTATAGAGAGAAGATAGAGACTGCTTTTTTCTTGACACTAAGAAAACTGAGTATTTATGCAATAAATGCCCGTAAGATACAAGCTTTATTAAGAAATATTCCCATCACTTTATTTGCATGCCTATGGCTTATGCACAACAAAGTGCAAATTTAGAATGTCTTAGCATTCCAGCCTTGATAATTATTAGATAATGTTTTTAATCCAAAAATACAAATAAAGGCATGAGGGAAGGCCAGTAGTAAGTTAGTGAAAAAGATTTTAAATCCATGGTTCATTCTGAAATCAACTGGATTTTGTAAGTATATGATTAATTACTAACCTATTTTATCATTTGGAATTAAGCCAAACCATTAAAATAGCTTGTGCAAAACCATCCGAGCAAGCAAAGGAGGAACACAAAAATAAAGATGAACCCAACATGAGAGAGCAGCGTACAACCTGGAAGCAAATGAAAATCAAAGTCAAATGGTTACAAGTAGTTAGAGGAATAGTTGAAATGCGTAGAAATAATTTATATCAAGATGTCAATTTACAGAAAATGAAGGAACATTGCAAGAAGGAAAAAACTCAAGATTCCCAAGGCAAGGACTTCTATTCTAAACAAGCCAAGCTTAAATGAAAACGTATCTCAGAACCAACCGATCACTTGATTTTGTCAGGTACGGGGAAAAAACAGAAATCTATTCCCATTTACAAGATATATAGAAAAACTGGCAAGTAGAAAAGTTAAACGATCTTATTGCTGTTTCTTATTAACAATTCCTAAAGGAAAGCGAATAGAACAAGAAGTTAGGAAAACTGTCATAAAGGAGGCTGTGACCTAAGGCAAGTTAATCTCTCAAATTCTCTTCTGTGTTGAACTAACTGATATCTAAAATCTTTTCCAGCTCCAACATTGCATTTCATCGAAACATTTGGGAAGTCTCAACATGTTTAAGGGGTGGGGGCAACAGGGAACAGTATGTTACTATGAACAGTAAATATAAGAGCCTAAAAGGAGCCCATGCTTGCTTTATTTTTATCATCTCCCATCCATTACTATTAACTAGATTCACAGTTCTTTCCTTATTTACTTAATAGGATATTGTTATTTGTGTCTGGTAGACAATATGGCTGCCTTCGTGATATTGTGCAAACTTCCCAGAAATTTTTCTGTGTGCTTTGTTTGGAAGTAGATTCCTAGCGACACAGCTACAACAAAAACATGTACCCACATTTTTTCATAATAATCACTTTTTAAAGCAGAGTTTACTTTTTTTACTTTCTTTTCCATCAGGACATAAATTCAATGAGTCCTTGGAGTCTCGTGCTTCTCTCTTGTGACTCTTCTCCAAGGCAAGCTTGTCAAAAGCAGACATTCAGCTTCTCTCACAGTGCCTGGCACAGAGTACGAGCTTAATAAATACCAGGTGAGTAGCTTGCAAGCATTTTAGACATAACAAACCTGACCTTATAGCTTTCATGACCTTGTTGGCTCATCCAATAACCACCATCACCACCCAAGTCACTGGATGCTGAGAATTCACATGACAGTCTCCCAGGCCAGAGGAAAGCATTTTAAAAGGAATTGCTGATCAGCTCTCCTGCCTGTCTGTGACTATGCAAATGCCTCTCTTTTTCTCCTTTTCCTAATAAGCCTGTTCTTTCAAAATATTAAAAAAGTACAATAAATAAATAAAAGAAACTGTTAAGACTAAATGTCTTAATCCTAATATCTATTTCAAGAGTCAGAATGGAAGACAAAGAACAACTCAAAATCTCTCCATTTTCACAATATATATGCAGACTCATCCTTCAATCCCTCATTTGAAAAAAATCACAATATGATGCTGTAACATTTCCATTTATTTAGAGTCACCAATATGGTCAATTTTAAGACATAAAGGATAGAGAAAAGAAGAAAAGAAAAGGGAAAGAGAAAGGTAAGTCTATGTATGAGTTCTGTAAAATTACAGATACAGTTCTGTGTTCTTTACATAGACTATATCATTTAAGCCTAGAGGGTTAGAGCAGTCATTTACAGACAAGGAAAATGAAGCTTGCAGAAGTTGCTTTGCCTATACAGGGTTTCTTAGTTGGAAAAGGGCAGAACTGGAACTGAAATTCAGCTTTTTCACTACTTATATATTTTTTAAAAAGCCTTTCCATTTGTGTTTGACCTAAGTGTACCTTAGTAATCAAAGGAATCAATCAATTTCAGTTCCCACACTTACAAAATGTTCTGTCTCTCTCTGCCTGGCCTTGTACTTTGCCCCTTCAGGACCCAATTCAACTCTTGCAAGAAAAAATTCATCTTCCTTATACCAATCCCTGACAAGGACATGTCACTGTTATGGGTTGAACTGTATCCACCTCCTCTTCCCAAGTTGGTGAAATTTCAAATGACACCTTAGTTAGAAATAGGGTCTTTGCACATGGTCAAGTTAAAATTAGGTCATTAGAGTGCATCCTAATCCAAAATGATTGGTGTCCTTATAGGAAGGCCATGTAAAGATAAGACAGAGATCAGGGTGATGAATTCACAGGCCAAGGAATGCCCACGTTTGCTGCAATCAACCAAAAACTTAAGAGAGAAGCACTAGACAGATTCTCCTGAACAGCCCTCAAATGAAAACCTTGCTTTTGGACTTTTAAAACTGTGAAAGAAGTTTCTACTGCTTCACCCACCTTGTTTATGGAACTTTATTATGGCTGTCCCAGGAAGCTAAGACAGCCAGCACCCAGTCAATACAATTAATACAAAGGATAACAAGAGAACAGCTGTGAATTATATAACAAAATTAATCAGAAAAATCAAATAAAAATTCAGAAGGCAAATGTAGTCCAATATTTGAGCACTATGTATTTATTCTACTCTGATCACTACAGTATTCAGAAAATGAGGCCATCAGATATAAACAAGTATTTTAATTACATTAATTGCTCACAAAAATAAAAGCTTTTAGCCTGGCAAATAATTATAATGCCTCCTAGAACTGTATTCACTAAGATTCATGCATGTGAAATTGACAAACGTGTTTTCAATTCACAGAGGAAATTGATATTGCCCGGAAACTGGAAGATATTTAACTATTAAAGATCCGTCATAAGTTTCAGTTCAGTGTAGACAGGATGTGATTCTGAAAATCTAGGGCATGAACAAAAACACACAAGGACAGGCTTCACAGACACCCTCTTCCAGAACCTCAGGAGTAGCCTCTTACAGCCCAATGCAGGTCATACTTTCATACGCCTTTCTAGTTTGCTTAAAAGCACAAAGGGAATAGAATTCAAGTAACATGCAAAATAAGATTGTTTCAGTGACCCAATTCAATTGTAGACAAATATTGAAATTCATTTTCAGTAAATTAGAAAGTCATCAAACAGAGTTAAGATAACCCTGCTTCCCCTGTGTATCAAATGAAGTTATTTGGTACCAAGAAAAAGGCCACCATCACAAGTTAGAGCTCAACACATGCTGTATTTCTCTGAATCTTGTTTCTCATCAGCTACCAACTGCACATTTCTGCCAGCTCCAACTCATTAGAATGCATTTTTCAAGAAATGATTTAAAAATTTACTGAGCAACTGTTAATTTTTCATTAATTCAACAAAAACATGTTGACTTCTATAGTGGGTGAGGTCTTTATCTAGTTGTAAATCAGCTGATTTTATCCTTCCTAAAATCAACTTGTGAGCTCATTTGCAAACTTATGTTTGGCACAAAGGACATACATAAAAATGTATATTCCTACAAGAAGTTTATGCTATATTGTAATGGTGAGGTCTATGCAAGGTCTTCCAAATAACAATGCAATATCCAACACAGGATTAAGAGTCCAATGGGTGATATTAACAGCTATTGTTAAGTGAAGAAAACCATTGTCACAGACACCTGTGGGTTTCATCTGTTGAAGAAGTTTCTCATGGAGTTTTCCTACCTGCTCCACTCAAGATGACTTGCACTGTCTTCTCAGTGCGAGACTTTTAAAGAATCTCTTCTTTTTTTTTTTTTAAAGAATTATTTATTTATTCATACAAGAGCAGGGGTACAGGCCAGAGGTGTGGGGGGGTGAGAGGATTCACAGAGACAGAGTGGGGAGCAAAACAGGTGAATTGACTGAAACACACTGCTGAGGGGAGCAGCAGGCGAGTCAGGAGAAGTCTGCTACGCCATGTGGGTTGCTCCCTGGCTGGGGATTGAACTTGTGCTGCAGAGGCTGCAGACAGCGTCATAGGTTGTGTCTTAATCCCTTGCACCACCAGGGAGGCCCAAAGAATCTCTTCTTTATCACCATGAAGATTCACTCCTGCTCTTGTTTCCTGCAGGAGTGCAAGTGGGAATTTTAAAAGACCAGGGCTCATCCCAGGCCAATTAATTCAGAAGTTTGGGAGGTGGGACCCAAAGCTTAGTATTTCCTAAAGTATTGCAGTTCATTCAAAGGGAACCTAAGGATGAGAGACTCTACCCAATCTGTATCTTTCTTTATTTTCTAATTTTGCTGGGCCACATCCTCGAGAAGTTTGAAAAAAAGTACTTACAAGATAATTTATTGAGACTATACCTGTCTGAACACATCTTTATTCTAATTTTATTTTAGATAAATAATTTTATTTTATTTATGTATACTTTCTATTTGGCTTATAATTTGTCTAATATTTTTTTCTCCACATTTTCAAAGACATTGTCCCACAGTCTTATACCTCTCACTGTGGCCTGTGTCTGAAGGTGTCTTTCTCCTGGTGCTCTGTGTTTGAGCTGTGCTTTTCCTCTTAATTTTTATAAGCTCTTCCTTTTGCCTGAGAAGTCTAAATTTATTTTTATAATTGACTTGGTGTAGGTCTATTTTCATCTGTTTTCTTGCATAATCAGAACCTCTTTTGGTCTTGCTACTTGGGTCTTATAATTCTGGGAATAATTTTCCACTCTTTTTTTTTTCCTGTTGTTTTGTTCTGGAGCTCAGATTTTTGAGATATGGCTCTTGTTGACCCTTTATCATTCTTTACTTTTCTCCCCTACTTTTCATTCTAGGTTTTTTGATCTATGTTATTGGTTGAAATGCTGCCCCCCACCACAACAGTTTCTATGTTGAAGCACTAACCCTCAGAACCTCAGAATGTGAGAAAGAGTTTTTAAAGAGGTCATTAAAACAAGGCCATTTAGGTAGCACTAATTCAATCTGATGGGTGTCCGTAAGAAGAGGAAATGTGGGCACAGACTCATACAGGGGAGCAATCTAAATTGTGGCCATCTGCATACACAGCAGAGGCCCTAGAGGAAATCAGCCCACTGATACCTTGGTTTCAACTTCCAGCCCCCAGGATTATCACAAAATAAAATTCTTTGTTTAAAAACACAGTCTCCAGTGCTTTGTTAAGCATCTTTAGCAAAATAACCATCTTCTTAATAGGAGTTTTTCTCAATTTCATTGCATTAATTGTATCATTTCCTTGTATCTGCTATCACTTTTTTAAATTTTTGAGTTCTTTTTCTGATTTTTTTTTTACTATATGTGTATATATATATATGTGTGTGTGTGTGTGTATGTGTGTGTGTGTGTGTGTATATATATATAATGTCATTGTTCATTTTTGTACAATGTTTGATTTCTCCTCTCAGGTGTAATCCCCATAAAATTCCCACCACCACGTCATGCATGAACCATCACCATAGTCTCTTGTGCTCTTCCCATCCTTGTTGTGATCCCTCTCCCTCCCCCTCCCTGTTGTTTTTCATCATCTTGTTCATTCTTCAAGGATGCAATGTCTTTTCTTATCTCTCTAAGGATGTTAAGGGTAGTTTTCCTTTCAGTGTTTTCATGTTTTGCATAGTTCTGGTTTCCTAAAGTTGTCTGAGTTTTGGTCTCTGTCTTTCATGTTAAGATTCATCAACTGTCTATCTGCTCATATTTAAAAGAAAAGCAATAGCACCTCCCCTGGTGGCACAGCGATTGAGCTCTGGGCTGCGAAGCTGCCCACAGCCTCTGCAGCTCTGGTTCGATCCCTGGATGCCAGCGAGGGTCCCACATGGCATGCAGACCTCTCCTGCCATGCCCGCTGCTCCCCTCAGCAGTGTATTTCATCAGTCTGCCTGTTCTGTTCCCCGCTCTGGCTCTGGTGAATTCTCTCACCCTCCTGCACTTCTGACTGTACCCAGTGCTTAGATAAATAAATAAATAAATAAATAAATAAATAAATAAATAAATCTTTAAAAAAGAAAAGAAAAGAAAGGCAATAAAAGTATTGTGATTGTAGTTGCTAGAGTGTGTTGACGGCACATTCATTCTCTTGATCTTTAACCCAAGGGTTGAAGATAGACAGTTCAAGGCTGAGTCCTTAACAAATGTGTCTGCACTTTGTTTTGCTCTTCAATTAGATTTCAATGCATTTTACTAAGGAAGTATCCTCTAAGGCCCCTCAAATTCCACCATTCCTTTTTGATTTAAGCTTGAAAGTCCTGCTAGTACTTTGTTCTAGTTAGATCCTAGCTTATTCTTTAACACAAGCTCAGATGTCTCTTCCTGCTATGATAGTTTCTCTAATACTCCCAGACCAACTAACTTTGCTTAGTCTGCATTTCACCAGTCACCTTTTTCCATTAGAGCCTTTGCCACAGTCCTCGGTCTGCCAGATGCTGGACATGCACATAGGGTGCCACACACATCTTGTGAAGGCAGGGCCTCTACTTCAGGCATGTCAGTAACTTTGGTAAAGTTCAAGAAAAGGTTATTTGAAACCGTTAGGCTCAGTGGGCAGGGGTTGCAAGCCACTAAAGAGAACAGGGGTTGGGGGGACAGGGCACAATTTGATCTAGAAAGACTATTCTAAAAGATCAAATTTCATACTCATCCCCAAATATTCGATTATTAAAATCATGAAATGTAATTCCCTACCCCATACCCTACCCCCCAAAGTAAGCAGCATGTCATGACAGGCTGCAATGTGGCTTTAATATACTTTCAGATGATTTCACAGCACATAATCTGTTTCACATGATAGAACATTTCTCAAGCTGTAATAACAGAAAGAAAGAAAATAAAAGCCCCAACATATCTAAATGAAAGAGGGAATAGTTTTGCATCCGAAGAGGTAATCTATCCCCATTTGTGATCAGCGCCCTTTCAGAATTCAAATCAGATAAAGCATGAATCTTGGCACATCTGCAAAGGTGCCCATGTACAATAAATCACAGTTTTTGGCAAATATTTTGGAGGCAGTTTTCAGCTATCCGAAGCTTAGCATTTCTGTTGTTTTGATTTCGCCAGGGCCTCAGTTGTAAAGTATCCTTGATGTTCCTAAATGGGGTGGATTTTTGCATCACATTAATTTCCATTTAGAGTCCCAGGAACACATTCTGCATTCTCACCCGTGCAACATCCCATCTGTAACTGAACTAGTCTTTTTCTTTGTTATTCAGCTACTCATGCCGGCCCAATTAAACAACATTAGCTAACTCTTTGTTCCTATTAATCTTCCCCTCCAAGGACAGTTTGAATATTGTGGTTTTTAAATTATGGAGAGAGCTCTGGGAGTTACCAAATATAGACTCATTCATGTGAACAGTCAACAAAGTATGTTTGGCTTTATAAATTAATGAGGTCTGCAAAGAACTTGAAGAACTGTATCTCCAAGTTCTTAAGCAGGACATGGTGGTTAAAGGACAGACTACAGATGGCCTGGATTCCTATCAGACCTCTACTTGGTACAAACTGGTTAGCCTCTCTGTAAGACCCAGACCCCATCAGTGAAATAGGTAAAATGAATGCATCTATTTCAGAAGACTTGGGAAGATCAAATAAAATAATATGCTTCACACACACTCTGCAAATATACTTGCTTTGTTTTTTATG